TACAGTTGCTGATTTGGAGGAAAAAAAAAAAAAAAAAATCAGTGAAAATTAATTTACAGCAATTATCTCCAGCACCAGGCAAGCAGCGACATTTGTCTCGGAAAGGTGACGGAGATCAGGAAAATAATTTAACCTTAGTATGTGGCCAGTCTGTTTGGCATAAAAGGAGAGAAGTACTACCATAAATGGGTTTATAGCATATCTAGGCTGGCATATTTTTGACAGAGGATTGCTAAGGCTGATAGTGTCCTCCAGCCATAGCAGGCTTTTGCTGTTGAATGATTAGTCCCATGCCCACTGAAAATACCGTGCAGTGGCAGGATAAATGAGGTAAGTACCTGGGTTAACAGGCCATGTAAAGTTAGGATAAATATATCTATAAAAATACATTCTCCTACCTCAATAACTCTAAATAGTTTCAAGTTTCTTTCAAGATCTAGTTTAAAATCAGCCCTCTTCATATTTGAAGCTCTTCATAGACTCCATCCAGTCATGTCTTCTTCAGCTATCCCCACCACTCCCTCTTCTCCCCCAATACCTACCTCTGATCACTGCCCTGTTGCTGATCCAAAAATCTGGTCTAAAGTTTCTAATCTTGTTTGGTCCATGGCTTCCACCTGCACCAAATCTCCATTGCTATTCAACCTAGCAAGTAACAAGAAGTTGTGCAAAAGTTTGTGAACAAATGCAATCTGGAAAGAGTTGTAATCCAAACCCTTACACATGCTTAAGACTAAAAGCATTGGAAGAAAATCAGAACCAGTGTTTGCCAACATCAAAATCAAATGGCCAAAGTTTTCAAGTGATCTGTAAGTTTTTATTATCTATATTTTTTGGTGTGGGGGCACTTGGCATACTTTAAGGATACCTGAAAACCAGGCCTCAGCTATTATAATATGTAAAGATTATTATGTACAATTATAATATGTAAAAATCACTGCTTACATTTGAAAATCTCACCCAGAATAATTATTCATAGATTTGCATAGTTTTCAAGACCAGAAGGAACCAACAGATTATCTAGTCTGATCTCATGCATAGCTCCGGCTGTGGCACGAGTATGAATACTGAACGGCTTGACCAGTTCTACGCAAAACAGCTTCTTGTGAACGGATGATCAGCAAGTCAAATGTGTGTAGAAATAAGTCAGTGAATAATTACAAGCAACTAAACTCAAAATAATAAATGGATAATACACCCATTTGGTGAGGAGATGGAGCCGTGAACTCTTTTCTTCACTATTAAATTATTCATTCCATATCCCTTAAAAGGGCTATAAATTAGCACATAGTTATAATGGACTTAAGCAGCCTTGATGATAAACTTTGCAGAAACAGATATCTTGGCATTTGGTGGAAGCGTATGTGATGCCCAGTACCAAAATGTTGCAATGACAAACCTTGCACGACTAACAAGAATTGGTAAGCCATCTGAATGTATAAAAAGAAATAAAAAGAATGCCAATTAAAATATGGATGTACTGTCAATTTAGAGTAATATGTTATGGGTCACAGCTGTAACCCAAGGTCACTGATTGGGACCTAATTGGGGTTGTCAGCATCCCCTGGTACCTTTATATGGTTGCTCCAGTCACCCACTTGAAGACTGAGCTATTGCTTTTTGCTGCCATTTTGCTGTTTGTCTTCCTCAGTCTCCAGTGAAGATTTTTAACTCCTTAAGAGCATAAATCTCTTAAGATCCTAGGCCTTTCTCTCTGACCCACTCTTCCAGCATGGCTTTGTAAGAGATGGCAAATTACATATTGCAGCTGCATTAAAACAAAATGAGTTCATCACCATTTTTAAATAAGGATGTCATTTGTAAATGCTTTATTCATAATTAATGAAATTATTACTGGATGTAGCCACATTCCTCATCCGTGTATTATGAGATATGTTGTAAAGTGCATTAGTAAAAAGCCTTATAGATGAGGCTGACAACGCTACTGTGAAATGCATTACACGACGTACTGTAGCTATTGTTAAAATAATCTTTGTGCAAGATTTCGAGTTATCAGCCTAGCCAGGGGCTGATCGATGGTGTAAACATTCATAATTAATCATAGGATAATGTTGATAATTAATTAATAGTAAATGATGATCTGGGGGGGGGGAAGGTTTAAGTCAGGATTATGCTAATGTTCATTGTTCACTGAATCATAAAAATCACAGATGTTAATGTCCCCTTCAGTTATCTCAGCCACGTGCCCCTACCAGGCATCGACTTTTTCTTTTTGGCCAGTGCCACTTCTAAAATCTACTGGCTGAACGGGTTTCTGTTCACAGAGTGCATGCAATACAGAGAACTGATGCAGCAGTCATGGCAATGCCAATGAGGCGCTTGATTGTAGAACATGAAGAATGAGTTAAAACCCATCCACCCCGCTGAAACAGGTCATGGGAAGCCAAAATGCACGGACTGGGGGAACCTCAAATAAACTTACACTGAAGTATCCGAAATGGAGAACTTGCCTTCACGGTGTTTTCTCCTTTATGTGGGGCTTCTTCCAGCAATGTAGAGAAACTACTATATTTGCACACCTCTTACCTTGAGCCTGGAAGACGCGTGTTGCGCTGCTCCGACGGGCTGTGACGCCCCGTCACACAACCCTGACACAGAGGGAAAGAAGAACATTCAGAGCTGGTGAGTCCTTCAAAGACAAGAGAACAAGTCACATTTCTCAGCAGATATTACCCTTGTTTTTTGGTTTGGTATATGCTAAGTGATCCCAATCCCAGCATGACAGCGTGGTCTATGCAGTGTGTGTGCATTTGCCTGGAAGGAAGGAGAAGTCACAGGTCAGTGCCAAGTTGCAATCCAAATGGACTCCGGAAAGCGTCCGCAGCTGGAAATGGGCCCATGCTCTGGATTCATGCACCTTGGAAGGAACTTTCTTAGAGCTGGCAGAGCTCCAGCCCGACGGGATGATCCTCTGGCAGCGTTATCTGAGAGAGGTGTTATCTGAGCAGGTGTCAGGACTGACAGCCAGGCCGCACAGCGCCAGCTGGACTCTTCCACCTGACCCCTCTGGAAATAGAAGTGGGGCAGTGTCTAGTGTCTAAAGAAAACAAATCAGATCCTCCAGAGAGCTTGGGCTTTTCCAGCCTCGCAGCAGTCCAATTTCACATGCCTATTTGCAAGCACAAGCGACTGCACCCTTTGCAAATCTGAGAGTTGCTGATCTGGAAGCAAAAATGGCTGTATGAAATAAATGGGCTGGGGCTGGAACAATCTGTCCTTAAAAGATGAACAATGAAAGCCACTGGAAAAAGCTCCCGAATTCAAGTCATTTATAACTGGGTGGGTAGTGTAACAAGCAGGATATTTTGCCAAACCATTCTGCACTAGCAAAGTGGACAGTCTATCAGGATGGGAGATGTGTGTGTTTTTTCCCCCCCCATCTCCCATTTCTTTTTTAAAGTGTTGGCTGGATACTTGCTAGAACTCAGGTCCTTTATAGGTAATCTTAAGCCATAGGTGTAAAATATATCTGCCATTTTCCTACCAGAAGGATCGCACATGTTGCGAGGAACATTACATTTTGCGGTTCGGTTTCCGACACCTTCGCAACTCACCACCTTTATTAAAATCCTAAATCCTTAAACCATGTTAATACCCTAGTAGCTTTCCATCCTCTAGAAATGCACGAAGACAGCTTATTGACTAGCACAAGAGCAACATTTACTGAGAGCGAAGAGAAGCAATTGTTAATTCTGGAGTTCTCTTGATAAAGAATTTAATATCAGGAGCTTTTTCTTGGAAAAATAGACTCTGAACCAATACACAAATTACCTTCTCCCCCTTCACTCCCCTTTTTCAATTCTACCTTTATTGGGCTTATTAACTTTTCTTTTTTTTTTTCATTTCAAATCCATCTCCATGGGCAGTTGCATGAAGAGGTCACCAGGATTTGCTTTGTGGTAGCCCTGCAGACAGACCGTCTCTGATCTCACTTACATTAGTATCAATTATTTACCGTAGAAATGCTTAATCATGAAAGCAAGGTTACAGGGCCATGCTATGCCTTTTCTAGGGGAACACGCATCCCGTATTATTCTTGGCTTCCTGGACCACTATACTCTTAGCATCTCTGTAGAAGGTGTTGCCTTGAGTTACTTTCCATCTCTTGGTACTTCAAGATAAGATCAGTGGTTGGACAGTCACATCTCTCATTTTCCCTGCAGATGTAGTTAAATAGTAGGATCACATAGGACAAGGCCTGCAAAGAAGAGTGTGGATCTATATATTACCACCACAGCATTTAGCTCAGAGCTTTCCAATCCAGCTTCCTTTTATTTCCTTCCTCACTTGTTGGCGATTGAAAAACTGAGGAACCAGTTACATTAGCAAGAGGCAAGTATGCATCAGGCAGAGGCTATGTGAGCTGGCTATATGTGCAGCTCCCAGGATGGGATTACATCTAGGGCTTGTGGAGACCAGATGTAGGGCAGCCATTTTTGCCCAACTTCCTGGGGCAGGGGTTGTGTTTGCTTCCTCTTCCTGCTGCCTCCAAGGTCTCTGGGATTTGCAGTCCAGAATCACAATAGCAGGACTCTGCAGAGCTGCTTATCACTTCCTCTTCTTGCTTCCAGGTGCCTCTGGGATTTGTAGTCCACAGTCACAGCCAGCAGTAAGTTTTTAGCAGGGCAGGACAGCTCTGTACTTGGGGGAAGGGAATTTTAACCTCCCCCTCACTTCCTTGGCCCCAAACCCCAGCCAGGGTTTGCCTGGGAAGGGGGCAGTCCCTGCCTTCCCCCAACCTTTCTCTGCTGGAGCAGACAGCCCAGCCCAGCCCAGCGCTAGAAGGAAAGCACACTGGGATGCTGGGGGACTGATTTAACATGAACCAGGAAAGGGTCTGGGCCAGAAGTTTCATAAACCAGTTTGACCCAAATCGGTTAAGTCTGATACGACATTCAACCAGGTTTATCTTAAACCAGTTTCAGCCATTTTGAAACTGGTTTAAATGTGCACTGAGCTTCTGTTCTGTTACAGGTTTAAACCAGTTTCTGATCACTTAAACCAGTTTATGTGCAACTTCTGTCCCTAGCCTTAGAAGCTTTAGCTACAAAGAGCATTCACATGCATGGCTTGCCTTTAGAGGGGGAACACAACTCAGTGACCTAAACCAGAGGCTACTAGAAGCGAAAGGTGCCAGGGAGGCAGCCCTCCAAGGCTGTGCATCACAAATCACCTGCAAACATAAGGTCTGTTCTTCGAGAGTTTTGCTTAGCTTTGAGAAGTCTGTGCAAGCTTCCTTAGCTATGACAGAACTGCTGTAAAACAATAGGGAGCCTGACACTTTGGTGCATGTTAAAGGTGTGGGAAGAGGGAGCGTGCATGCGTGAGAGCAAGAGCGAGCGAGCGAGCAAGCATGTGCAGATCAGGAAGATTGTTCTAGTTTTGACCTCCTGCGAGTCACTTCATTAACCCTGACCCTGCTTGACCCTTTTACTGTTATATCAGCCCAACTGTTTATTTTCTTCATAGAACTAAAACCTAAATCGATCGCCTTTGCCTCAAAGCCCTTTATGCAGTCTTGGCTTCCAGTCACAGCCTTGCTGCTAATAACAGGCCCAATGCAAATCAAATATCTGGGAAACAGGAAGGTTCAGTACAACCATCCCCTCCCCTGCCCCATCCCTTCTGTCTATCAAAGCTCCAGCCATTGCCCTTTTTAAAGTAAAGAAAATATATATTTATAATCAATAGCTGCGTCTTGCCGGGGATTTAAATATTAGCCAGATCTGTAGCACCAGATTTATTTGTATGAAAACCTTCCCCTTCTTGTTTAAGGAGAGATATTAATTATAGATGCAAACCCATAAATCTTTGGGCTTTAGGTGAGGCATTTGCTGGATTATAAATATGAATTGGAGATGAGGGTCCTGATCTTCATATTATTACTAGTCTTATTACTTACCGAGTTGTTTTTTTATATGATCAGTATCTTTAGATGGGTCAAACATTGCTGGGGAATGGCAAGCAAAGCTTTCAAAGGGTGCACACATGTTGAATTTATTAAAAGATTTCCCTTGCTAACCTCCCTCTCCGCTGCATTTCACAGTCCAGAGAGTCATTAAACATCATGTTCAGATCCCCTTCCCCCTCTCCCAGTCCAAACGCTGGGCCTTGATTTCATTGCATTTCTTCTGCCAGATCATATCAAGCCTCCTAATGTTTATTAATAATGTCTGGTATAGTCTATTGACAATGTGCCATTGTTTCTCTGAAGTCCTGCTCCCAATGCACACCTTAGCATGCAGCAAAACCAGGCACTCAGAAGGCCTTCAATAGGGCTCAATTCTTCATTGAATGTGACAGTTTCCTTCCCTGTTACTTATTAGGGTGCACCAAGGGGCACCAAAGGGATCCTGTGATATGCTGAGTGCTGCTGGCTCATACTAAAAGAGTTGAGCCATAGCACTCTTCCAAATACATCAACAGCTTTGATGTGGTAAGCATCAAAACTTGATACACGTGTAAGCCAGGTTCCTAGGATGTCCTGAGGGCAACAGGAGCTGCATGCTCCAAGACAGGGCTATGTAATACTTATAAGAGTAGAAGATCTTAATAAAAATAATTAAAAAAAAAAAAAAAAATCACTCAAACCATTCAGGAAGTTGCAGTGAAGCTCTGGGGTTTTAGTGCATAGTCCGCGTTGTTACCGATGTAAGGGCTCAGTGTTTTCCCACCACAGTTTGGATCTCCGATGCCCTTCGATGCTGAAGCCATCTCAGTTTTCTTCAGGTGACCGAAGCAACAAAGCCATACATCGAAGACAAGAGTTCAGAAGCGCCTTATAGCTCCATTGAAAAGCATGGAGCTAGCATGAATTACACCAGCTGCGGATGCTCGATGGCCAGTGCGCTACAGCTCCGCTCACGTGCTAACACAGCAAATTGCTACCACAAAATGAAATCACAAGAAGGGATTTGGAACTAGGCATATATAACGCCTTCCAGTGAAATTAATAGGACAATGAACACCAGGATTGTAAACATGGTGCACTGTTTAAAGTCTGCTTTTCTGAATTAGACTCTCTTGCTTAAATAAATTAAGTGAGCTGTCGGGATATTAAATGATTTAACACATTCTGAAGTTTTGCCAGGGATTTCTAATGAAAATGCCCTCCAATATAATACGCTGGATAAATTAAAACAGTGAAGTGTTTTAATAAACAGTCTGTTGTTATGGCGTACCGCATTAAAGTAATATTTATCTATATGGTAATGATGTTGCCCTGGTTTTAAACATTTTTATTTGGTTCGAGGTTTCAGATAAAATATAAGCAATGCATTTAAATTCGTTCCAATCTGCAGGCTGTGTACAATTACCGGGCCAGTTCGTGCTGCCAGTGAAATCAATGGAAATTTTGCCACAACAGCTTAACTGGGAGTAGGATTAGGTTTGGTCTTTGGTCGAGCATGGACAGCAAGCTCAGTGACATACAGAACAGAGAAGGGAAATGTAGTCCCAGCCTCCACGGGCTTGGATAATGAGCCCCTAGTCCTACACTTGGACCAATTTGGACAAATCCTGCTGTCACTATAAAGTCAAATTAACCCTAAGACAGACAGTGCTGGGGCTTCACAGTCTATCCTCATTAATTCAACTGCAAGAAGTCCAAATATCTTAGCACCTTCCTTTCCTAAGGAGCAAAAAACAGAAGCAAGTCCTGAGCAAGAGCTTCTGAGTTTGGCCTTAGAAGGAATAAGTCAACAAGGGCCCAGTTTTAATTAGTCCTGATTTCTGGGTATCAGCTCTTATTTAGCCAAAGCAATCCATCATTACAGTTGTTCTCTTCGAAGAAGGTGCCCTGAAATACCTGCCTGGTGGCCACAGTAACCAAGAGAAGATGGCTGGTTAAAACCCGTAACCAGCCAGATGCAAATTATTCCATTGGCTGGGATTCACAAAGGCATGAACAAATGAGTTTCAAACCAGCTGGCAAATTCTTTGCTCACTTGGGAAGTCAGTAGCACTAATCTTGGGACGGTTTGTGCGAGAGGAATGCAACCTGCCCCTGCCGCTCTTATGATGCTGATGCTCCTTTCTGCAGCTTCCCAATTCCTACATTTACCTAAAATTTGCTCAAGTGGATATGAAGCGTGGTGTGTCCTAAATGCCGCGTCTCACATGTCTGGCAAAAGAATAAAAGCTTCACAGCTCACTCTGTTTCCATAATTTCCGGGCTTCACGCATGTACCTTATCTAACTAGACATTTTTACTTACAGTTTTAGGGACTTTTAAGTGATATAGGTGAGTCGCTTCCTCTACAAAGCCTATAAAACTTAAGTATTAGCTTGCCTGGGAGATTGAAAACAGGATAAAGAGCCTCTAACTTATGAGTAGGGTCTGGATTCGGCAAGGGGTTTGGGTCTGCTGGCATTTTGTTTGTGCCTACCAAGTGTGATTGAGTTATGATCAATTATATTTAGGCTACTACTGGTTTTTATTTCCAAGGTCAACCCCTCTGGATTTGTCAAGATAAGGTGTAAGAGTGGATTCCCCCATGTTGAATACAGTAACTATCGAGTTAGAAAATCATCATTTGTACAGTTTGGAAACTCTAAGAAGTTTTAGTCCTGGAAGTGCGAGCCCTTCCACGTGTCACTCAGATTGAAGTTCCCCATGGTCATGTCATTTTTCCCCTACACTTTATAGATAGATGCGTAAGAAACTTGTCATCCTGTTCTTTAGCGTGATTTGGTGATCTGTAGCAGACGCCAACCAGCTCCGCGTCTTGTGCTTTATCTATAAGCACTCAAGATCATTTTATTCCAAGTTGTCACCGGCTCAGAAAACAGGTTATGGCATTTTTGATAAAGTGCCACACCTCCTCTGGCTTTTCCCCACTCAATCCTTCCTAAATAGGTTATAACCATTGATTTTAACATTCCTCTTGTGTGAATCTTTCCACCAAGCTTCAGCAATACCAACGAGGTTGAATTTATCCCTGTAAGTGTGCAATCCCCATTCCTCCTGTTTATCACCTCATTCCTTGCATTGCCAATGAAAGGATTTCTTTTCTTTGTGGCCTTGGGTGTCTTGATTAATTTGGTCCTCAACTTCTTGGCTTTGTGCTAAATGAGCGCTCTGCCTTTTCAGCCTCTCCTATTGCTATTAGTCTGACACCCTCTCGACTAGTTTAACCAGCCTGTTCTCCAGAAAACTGGCTTCCTTTCTCTAACCATGCATACCATACAACTTACTTACAGCTTACTGTACAACTTAATGCATGCTTTAGTATACTGGTGATTTTAGTCCACTCATACAGCCACAGAATCACTACAGAAAAAGTCCATTATTGTGTGCACCAAAAACAGCCTGTTTGAGTCATAGCTCATGCCAGAAGGCAGAGCAGCATGGGAAAGCATGTTTAAATGATGCTCATTTCCAGGTCTGTGAATCTGGCACTTTTCAAGACCACAAACTATGGTGAAGTGGCTACGGCACCCCAGCCTGAAGTCGCACAGAGAGAGAGCACAACGCTTAAGCTAAGCATTGTGGCCAAGATGCCTCCTCTACCACTTGCTTCTCCTCTCTCTCTCTGCTATCGTTTCACGTAGAACAGCACATCTCGGCCACAGGCAATGAAACACTCACGAGTATGACTCACGAGAATAATAAATTTGCTTGTGAGCTGATCTATTATGCTCCCAGAAGATGCCTGTGCTCACTTTAAGACACATTAAAAATCAGGAATGATGGCAATTGTTTCACTGCCAGTCACAAAAGAGTTTGGGGCCAGGTGGTGGAATGAGAAGCTCCTGGGGCTTTTTTAAAGCCGTTTGTATAGCTCACACCAAAAATGCATGTTATCATAAGTGAAAGAGGAGCATCATTCTCCTGTACTCTTATAGCAGAAGCAAACGAATACAGCCCATGCAGGTACAGCCCATGCAATGCTCCTAGCCCAGCAGCTGGGTTGTCCCTCTATTTCCAAGTGAACCTCTATTTCCACCCCGCACCTCCAGTTGAGCTATTCTAGGGAGAGGACGGCAGTACAAGAGCACAGGGTATGAAGCATGTAAAATAAACCAGTTATAAAATAACCCCAGGCTGCTCTGAATTATGTATTCTCACTGCTAGGAAATGCTCACGTTTGGTTATTTCCTTCCTGTCTTACTTCTCAAAACATCCCCTCCCCCTTTCATTTTCTGGGCTTGTGGGTTTCCTCTCATTCCCTTTTGCTGTTTGCTGCACAATTCCTTCCTTAGTGTTTTTTTTTTTTAATTTGGGGTATTGTGAGTGAAGAGTCCCATAGTCTTTCCAACCTAGTGAGGAGGGCTTTGAACTAGGTTTTCGGGGGAGGATGGAAATAAGAGGCCACAGAGCAGGGTGGTCTTTTTTAAGGCTTGGGGACAGGAGGAATACTGGAAATCTGAGCCAGATTAAGACAGAAACTGGGAGATTCTGGGAGAGATGCCTGGAGACCGTGCAGCTGAAAGTTGGCCACATGCTGAAGCATATGCACACTTGTGTGCCCAGCGATTTTTTAAATACAGCCTTCCTGCACAGCCGCATCGAGTGCAAGTGCGATGGCAGTGATGCATCACACTCTCATATACTTCCATGCATTTAAGCTTGTGGACCTGCAAACTGCTGGGAAACTTTGCCTGCTAGGGATAGAAATGAAGCTTCAAACGTCATCCCTTTTGTGAGTCTTGTCCCCAGAGCTTATTTATTACGTGCTAATCAGGTCCGAAAAGAAAAACGATTCAACTGAAATGCACTGGTTTTGGTCAGCCAAGAGTGGAGACATATAGGAAATATGCTTCCCATATTTCTCTTTGGACCAGCTTCTCCTTCCTTCTGTATTTTGCCTTGGGGAGACTAACTACTGCTCCAAGCTTTAAAGAGCCCTAGGGCTGAGCACCGAGCAGGTACCCTGAGACACGCACGTGTTACCGCTCTCCCTCGCTGGTGAGCTCTAGCACATTTACTAGTGACTCTCAGCAAGTCACAGCGCTGGTCAGATGGTGCTAGCTGTCTCTCTCAATTCCATCTGCTGCATTTCATTAAGACAGCTGCAGCTGCATTAAATACTTCCCTTCGACTTCTTTTGCAGGCAGGCAATTGCTATAGGGAAGTTGAGCACTCATGAGGCAGCAGTGGCAAATGGGAGATGAATGGCTCCTAAATTAATCCCTCTCTTAAGGAGTGGTGCCCTCAATGAGAAAAGTTTCACACTCCGCTGTAAGCCTCCATTAAAGTAATAAGAGCCGGTATCATTTTTCCAATAAAACTGATTATTGTTCAGATGTAGCAATAGAAAAGCTCCCTTAAAGCCAGTCAGCAGCTGGATAGCTGTGCTTTGGTTTTGGTCTCTCCCTTAAATAAAGATGCATCAGCCTCATTCAAATAATAGCAGTGCTTTTAGTGAAGACTTTTTCAAGCGAGTAAATGGTCATATTGCCTACCCTGCTTTCAGGGCAATAAAGTAAGCCCCTATTTGCAGCTGAACAGGGGTTTATCTGGTCACTTTTGACCATCTGCTTTCATTCATTGCCAGCACTGACTCTAATTGCTTCCTGAACTGAAAGTCTGAACACTAAAATTCAGCCTAGATTGCTATTTTATATCAGAGATATATTCTCTAAGTCACCTACAAAGAAACAGGAGAGTACCTTTACCTGGAATAGAGAAGAAAAACAGAGAGAAGCTTTAAACAGAACTAAAGGAAAAAGGACCCAAATTAGCAGAAACCTTGCTACACTGCAAAGGTAACAGCAACTGCCTTGGCAGCATGTATGTATGTATAAATCCCCCATGTGGCCTGAATTTATAGCAGATTGAGGGGGCACGGCTAGTAACTTCACACTGCATTGGTCAGCCCATCTGCCAGCCTCCCCTGTCCGATCCACCAAAAAGCTGAACGAGGTGTTTCCGGAGGATTGCTGGAGGACTGGGAATTCTCCATGTGTTTTGAATGAGAAGGGGTGGTGAAACCCATACAGATGTTTTCCATTTGGATACGTTCCTATTACCTTTCGGTTAGCCCCCAGCACTTGAATGGGTTTACAGGGCTTTTATATGAAGAACCTTTGTGAGATCAAGAATAATCCCCTCTGATTAGCTTGTAATTAAAAGCAACATCAGCAAGGGCTGGATGGTGCCTTCTCTTGGGGGGACAGCTATAAATCTCCACCACCTCAGCTCAGCCAGGGGATCAGTGGTTTGGGGGGGTGGGGGGAATGGGCTTTTATTAGGTGCAGAGCAGTCTGGGTGTGGGGGTCTTTAGTTTTGGGGCTTCATTTGGCATTACTGCAATTTAGCACATCTGAAAGCTGGGGTCATATTGCAATCTGTTGTTTCTAGTGGGCAAAAAGGTGTTAATGATGCATCTTTAAGTTTCTGCAATGATTTTTTTCCAAGGAAGTTGCTCTGGTCAGGAGTATTTTGTGACTGTAGCTGGGAAGGGAGATGGCCCATGCAGCTGTGTGTGGGAGGGGAAATATCCATGATAAATTCTTCCTGAGGGAAGGTGGTGTCCTCTCTGGACCAAGTCCAAGGAGCTTGCCTCCAATGCTTTCTGCTGAGTCCAGATCATTTGACATTCGTTATAAGTTTTGCTCGCGAAACCTCATTTTTAATTCAAACCTTTTATTTCCCCCCTAAAACCTCTAGATTTCATTAGTTTGCACTTAAATAAATATGGCTAGCATCGTCTGCAAGCTTTCCCGTGATTGTGTCATCAATTCCCCCTGTCACTTATGCAGGCCTGTGTCACACCTGGCACGGTGACAAGGAGACACTTTCACTTCTGTGACATGGCTGCAGTAGTCCAACCTGATTGGATGCTGCTAAGGGCTTTCATGGACTTTTTGTGATTAGGGACCTCAGTTTCAAGGTTTCAGGAAGAAAAAAAAGAAAACTCATGGGTTTGGGGTTGACTGTAAATTTAATTCCTGCATTTTAGTCATTTCTGCAACATGGGTCATTAACCATACATTATGGGTGGCAATTTTTCATAAGGGCTTTGCTACTGACACAAAGTTATATTGTCACAGCCCTGGCAGAGCCTGCCTGTGTCGACCTACCCCGGCTTCTCTGCGGCACGGGACATTTGTACATTGTGGGTTGGGGGATCTATAATTAGCCAGATTCAAGATCTTATCACAGAAAGGTCACCGTCTTGAGTAAAAATGTGACTAATGGCATATAAATGTCTCGCGGATGGTGACTTATGTCATATTTTTACATTAAAACACCTCCTTGTCTTGGGTAATATTCCAACTCCTGTTTCCCCACCCCATTCCTCTATCACTGCAGACAGTCAAAGGGTAAAGTAGTGCAGAATCCCACCAAGAAACAGCCTGGGCTTAAATAAATGCCATTTCATTCTTATTTATTCTTTTTCCATTTAAACGTTCTGGACATCCCTCTGTTTCAATAAGAAAGCTATCTGCAAAGGCCTATTGTTATGCAAGGGGGGGGGTACAATGAGCCTCCTTTAGTTAGGAAGGCAACTGAATGCCTAAGACCTGAGTAGTGGGGGCAATTAAAGCAAAAACAGGAATGAGAGTGAGGGTTAAAGGTTCATAACGAGTGGTCCAAGGTGGGACACCAAGCAATGCCTACTGGCCCTCAACTGAGCCCAAGGAGCCAGTGGATACCTCCCAGTGAAACTCTGCCCTGATACATGAGTAGATGAGGGGCTGGAAGATGGCCCCACAAGCACTGGGGATCCCCCCAGCAAGAGCCTCCTTCCTGGCTAGATAGAGGGTGAGCTTGGCTAGAGCCTGGAGGAGGTTGACCAGGAGATCCCAGGACTTGGAGGTTGACCAGGAGGTGATGGGTTGATCTGCAACCCATGGGTTGCAAGGTCATGGGTTGATCTGCAAAGGAAATGAGTCACTTCTGCTTTTCAGTGTAAATGTGGACTGACCTCAAGCCCTTTGTTGGAGGGGCTGAGTCCTAGTCCCTCAGTGCAGTAGTACTCAGCACCAACTGAGATCCCGAGGGGACAATCAGAAGAAAGTTCTCAACAAAGGCTCCTGATGCCAGTCAGGCCCCAGTCTTGAAAAACAGCGCAAGTAGGTAGGCTCCTTTAATATGCTTCAGAGTTTTATTTATATCTCCTTTGAATAAGTGCAGCTGATACTTAAGATCGACAGATTTAATGACAGCAAGCTGGCAAAATGCCAGAACTGCAAATAGCGCCACTAAAAGTCTTCGCTGCTATAAAATTTGTTTAATGTAAGAAATCATACCGTGCCAGTTTTTTGCCTGGCGTTTTTATAATTAGCAGGAGAAATCTCCATTTCATCCCTCAAGAGCAGCCAATGTTTTATGGGAGGCTGCCGTCTTTCAATGAAAAATGGAGGAAGGTTTTGGGGGGGGAGGGGGGGGAGGTTTTCTCCTTTCTTTTGAGGGGTAAGGGGATGTTAAGAGTGCCAACTTTGGAGGCGGTTTAAATTGCTTGCCTTTTATCCACCTCCAAAAACATGAGAAAACATGCTCCTACCTGCAAGACAAAACGTTACCCCTGTGTATAGCTGAACACTCAGCTGGGAAGATGGGAACACACTGCCCTTCCCAGTAAAAAGCATGTAGATCTTGATGGTTTTCTTGATCCATCCCTAAGTATCCCATTGTGCTCACATCTGCACTGGAGTCTTTCCACTGGATTTTTACCTGTGAGAATTAGCAGACTCTACCCAGAGACCTGAGCCACGTGCGACACTCTTCTTTCCTTTCATTTCCAGCACTGTCTTTCTCCCTCCATCACCCCTTGTAGGAGAGGCTGCTTTGTAACCCCCTAACAAGTCTTCTGCCCAGCAATACAGATGGCCGTTATGCTGCTGCTTGCAGCGTTTCTGATAGGGATGTTCATGCACTCTAGGCGAAGGAAGGCTTTGGATTTCACCCTTCTTTGGGTTGCTTTTATGCACATCCTCATCCATTCCCTTGGGTGTTTCCACACTTCTAAAAGCCAGGGGAGCTTGGCCACTGGTTTCAAAGGGATTATTAAGCCCATCATGTGTAAATGAGTTGAGTTTTCTGCCCAAGAAGTGTCAAATGTGTGCGAGTTACCACCCTCCCCTTCTACAACACCTCCTTATGGGCCTGATCTGACATTCGCTGAAACAAATGGGAAGACTTCGCATGCCTTCAGAGTTTGGTATCCGGTCATTCGTGATCCAATTATGTCCCACGTGCACTGAAGATGCTGCAGGATCTGGGCCTGGTGCTGTAAGAGCATAACTAATGATTTGAAGTTACCTTTTTTATTAAATGGACCATATAGCTAGTTACATTTTTAAATATCCCTATTGTATATAATATTATATATGATTTAGAGATAGAATTCAAGCTCCTGCAAACAGGACTTCTTTGTTCCTTTTCAGGTTTTTCCTTTTTATCTCCTGTGTTTCTAAAAGAGCTAAAATGTCACTAGCTGTTTTTGCTTAATAACCATAATGACAAATTACTCTAACAACATATAGTACAGTCTATTGCACCTTATGGCCCAGAATCATCTTTGTCAGCATCACTGAAGATGTCAGGGCTTCCCTGGGAATAGTACTTGCTAGTGAGCATCTGCCACCGCGCCTTCAGAGGGAGCACAAAAGCTTTGTTTGGGAAAGAGGACATTGCTCATTTAGCCCCATCCAAAGTCCACTGACCACAGGAGTCTGTCCATTGACTTCATGGACTTTTGAGCATGTCCTTTCTGAGCTGGGGGGAGGGGATGTTCTTTCCAGTGAAAAGGCAATGGATTATTTGAAATGATGATAAGAAATCATCAAGAGTCCAGAAAGATTCTGTGAATTTAGCATCAAGCACTTACTGAAACTACATACTTATAGCATAACTCCAGTATGGTTGCTCTCAGCGTCTGAGATTATCCATACCACCTAGCAGAGGATGCCCATTTTCCATTCCACAACCTCGGTCAGACCTCTAGCTTCTTTGCTTTTTTTTTTTATAATAAGAACTAGGCTTTTAATAAGAACATGCCTCCTGTTAATAAGACAGGATGTCTTTCCTTAGCTCATATGACTTGAAAGCCTTCACGCTGTTTGAACGTTCTCCATGCCCCTGAGCTGAAGTTGGCTTTGCTGTCACAGTCATTGCTCTTAATAACTGTGTGGACAAGCCCATTTCAGAGAGTCTTGATGAGTTCAGAGTTTCTTTATGTTTGGGGATGGGCACCTCTTACAAGTCTTCTTGCCACTTCCCCCATTAACATTTCAAACTGTTGCCTAGTCCAGAGAACAAAAGTTTGATAGCCATGCAGGCACAGGGATTTTATTCCAGTCTCCGCCATTCACTACCTCAGAGGTCTTGGGCAACTTCTTTACCACTACTATGCTTCAAGCTAGCCATCTGTGCAAGGGATATAATACACCTCTTGCTTAAAGGGAGACTTAATTATACATTTATAAGTAACCCTGGGATCCTCACCTAAAAGCCATTGCTTGACATAAATTCAGGATATTAGAGAGATTATTATTTATCCCTTTTCCAGCAAAATATCTTGAGAAAGTAGCCTACAGCCCTGGATCAGATGATGGCACTCACATAAAACAGGGGTGGATGGATAGACAGAAAGAGAGAATAAAGAGAAATTGGTAAAAGAAAAAAAGAAAGGTTCCCAAGAGGTGAGCTATTTAAAAGGCATAAGCATCCAAAAAAGAAAAAGAAAACTATGATAAAGCAAACACCATCGATGTAAGCTCTTTGTGCTCTACATGGACTGTATCAGTCTGGTCTGTCCGTGCCTAACAGAAATGCGTGCACCAGAAAATCAAAGCCATAAGGGGTAATTATCATAGAGACAACTGCAAGTGAATGCTGAATGGGCATGGAGGCCAACTGCTTTCATACCCTTGCACTTGGTCCTCGACTACAGCTAAAGCAGCCCATGATATACCTTTAGCTATTCACTGGATAAATAGACAGCATCCAACATTTTGCAACAGCACTAAAACCTTCACCTAGCAAAGCATGTATGATTAGGCCCTCAATCCCAAGGAGGTGTATGGGATACCAGAAGATGTTAGGGAGCATTTGAAGCCAATGGTGTACCAGTGTGCTAATTGCTAAGCACATGCTTAAGCGTTTTGCTGTATCAAGGCCTGAACTGGCACCGTATTTCCAAGCAGAAAGGAAGTAAGGGAAATATTTCACTGGAATTTGATGCCAAAGATGCCGACTCAAGTAGTTCTTCTTGTTCTTTCAACTTTTGAGTCTTTCCCCCTTTTTCTAATATGTTTTCCCTAAAGGAGCATGACAAATTGAGAGCGTGGGGCATACAATCCCAGTGAAAAGTCCACACGCAGACATTTATCTACTGAAACCAGGGTAGCTCCCTCATGAAAAAGCGAGTGTGTCTTGTTCGATTGCTTCTTCACAGAAACCTGAAAAGTTGCGGGGAAGTGAATCCTTTGCTGATATGGTTTTGAAATCATATCTGATCCGCATGATGTATGAAGCTGCAGCATCACTAGTACGGGGAACTGGCAGGGCTTTCCGAGAGGCAGGAGAAAATGAAGCTGATTCCTTTAAAGACAAGTTGCTACTTGCCCTATTTCAGGGCAATAACCAGTTCATGTGTAAAGAGGCACCTTGTTTGCAGCAGGAGCATTTAGCCCTGAATTTCACACTTCGTTAGTCTTAGGGTTCCCTGAAGGCTCCTTTAGTGCTGCTGGGGGGATTTGACCTTGGGAGAGGGTTGCTGATGTTTGTGGAGGAGCGAGTCTGAAGGCTACATCTCATTTTGTCTCTGGCTACAGAGGTTATTATGTGCAGCTGCACTCTGCCCATTGGGACACCCTGACACAGTACGCACTGTAACAGCAAAGGCCTAGGTCAGGTGGAAAAGGTTGTTTGGGAAAGGTTACTGCTGCTTAGATGCAGACTTTTTTTGGTGGCATCTCAGAAGCGCGCTCCTGAAAGCCGGAATTAAGTTAACTCTCTGAAGACGCGAGCGGTGCAGGAGAAGGAGGCGGCGTGGCAAGCACCCCTCCTAAACACCTCTCTGGGGCACAGCTCTTGGTATAGGTCTGCATTCACAAAATCACTCATGCAGGCTTATATTTGAATCCCAGTCCTAGAGATCATGCATGGCTAATTCATTAAAAAAATGCACATATTCAGGATGTTAGAAGCAACTACAGTGCCCTCCATGGAATTTGATGCAGCTGCTTAAAGCACCCAGATGTTACCGCCTCAGAGGTTTGGACAGTGAATTGAGGGACATTTTAGGCTATACCTTTCTTCCTCTGTAAAGTTGTGGTGCTCAATGTAGCAGATGATCGGCAGCCTGTATTTTCACTTGTTTTATTTCTTCGTGGTGAAAAAGCCACGCACAGTCATTAGGGTGCTTTGAAACCGTGAGCCACTTCAAGTGATTTTAATGAGAGCTCTTTTCTCATCCGGGGAGAAACGGAGAGGACTATCCCATAGTCACCAGAATTTGATTTTTTCCACCCATTCCCAAGCTAGTTTGGAGGCTTCATGTTTTCACTCACCCCTTCCTTCTGGTCCCATCCTGTACATCTCCCTTAAATTGGCTGGCCACTTAGGCTTGTCCAAGCGTCCTGCTATGAATCAGCCCCTAATGGCTCTCAGGAAAGAGCCAAAACCTTCCCATGGGGAAGGGAAGGACTCAAACGAATTTCAATGGGAGCTGGGAGAATGGAAGAATTTCAAATGAATTTCAATGGGAGCATTTCAATCCTTTGATTTCTGCTCTTTTCTTTTCTAGATGCCAGCTTCTACGGACCAAGGCTAAGTACTGCGCTGACATATAAAGAGTGAAGAATTGCTCACTGGGTGCAGAGCTAGGTGAGCGCTGCAACAAATGACTCATGAATACGCAATCCAATTTGAATTTTGATGGGACTCTGATGCTACTCTTTCCACAAATAGTCTGGCTTTCCTAGAATGAGTGGGTAGGCAAATTAATTTGTAGTGCAGATGCCTGAATGGGCATTCAAAAGCATGGTGAATTTGAAACACTGGAGCTGAATATCCGCTCTGAAATTCAGATTGGCATTGCTTAATTCTATGCATAACATCACCCAGTTAGGAGAGAGTTGCAGCATCACATGGTCCATGTTATTCCTTGACATAATGTGCATTTGTAATGACAGATGCATGGACAGTCTGCAGGCGATAAACCCTTTCCTATGAGGAATCCAGAGACGGTTGTGACCACCGACGCCATGCGAGGACGTTGTGCCTTGCAGGCAATTTGCAAACAGAAGACGAGATGCAATTCATTCGAGGAGGCTGCACGTCTGAAAGGGCCCCAAGTCTCAGTGGCCTAACTTACTAATTACAAATTGTTCACCCAGCTTAATTCAGCATCCTGTTTTGCTGAGCTACAACCAACTGTATAATGTCCTGTTAACCTACTGGGCTCATCTCCAGAGCTCCGAGATGTACTTGTAGTGCTCAGCCTCCTTTGCTCATTTCTTCATTTTCCTTATTCTTTTTCTTCCAGAAATAAAAACAACACATTTTCAAACCTGACCAGACCTGAAGATTTCTTTCCTAGCACAGTTTTTTTGCTGGGGCCAAACTTGAGAGCCCAGGCTGTGATGGAGAATGCTGCTCCAATGATGGTTTAATTAGCTGAGAAAAGATTTGATGGATCATTCTGGTTGTAATGCATATTTTTGTGCCTGTGACGGACAATTTCTGCGGTAAGACTCAAGGACGGCAAGTCTTTCAAGAGGTCACTTATGTACAGGTTTTTATTTCCAGAAACAAAGGGAAGTTTGCATGGGTGATCTGAGAAAGATTGAAGGGCTTTGTTCTCAAAGGACCGAGGCTTGAAGCCATAAAGTATGAAATACAGGAGGGAAAGCCGTGTTGGGGCAAACCTACAATATCACATTAGACTTTAAAGCTGTTCCAACAGACTAAGCATCTGAGAAAGAATCATCGAGCACAGAGCGGTTGGTGATAAGTTGGCCCTCTTATCGGCAAGCTGTCATCTGTCTTGAGTGAGAACATTTTGTCCACCCTACCAAAACAAGTCAGAAAAATTGGATAAAAACAAAAATATAAATCAGAACGGAAGCTGGAAGCAGAACTTTAAATGATGGCAATTTCCTGGCAAGGATCATTGTACAACTAAATGTCAGATGTGACAGGAAGAATTATACGTTCAACCCGAGGTCGGGAATTACGTGCGAGCACACAGGGGCCATACAGGCACCCCTGCCGCCCCAGGCACGGGTTGGGGCATAAGCATCATATGTCGCATCTATAGGTCCCCTCGGACAGTATCATGCCACTACAGTAGAGATCCGAGCCTGTTTCAGTTGGAAAGCGCCGTCCATACTATAGAGCTATTTATCCCACCCCCCGAAAAGGTTCAAGTGCAGAATCTAATTGCATCCTGTGCAGACCCTAACTTTGCAGCATCTGCATTGCATAAACCTCCCATTGACTTCAGCTGCAAGGATGCTGTCATTGCTGAGCCAACCCCTTCGTGTTTCCAAAGACGAATAAAGAAAAGTCTCGGTGCTTGCCACTTGCTTCTTTATCCAGCCCATTGCAACGTGCTTCCAAAACTACCCGCTGCACTGGGATGAACAGGGTGCTCGGGACCATGAGTGCTAACATGCATGGGAAGACATCTATTGAGCAGGTTCATAATCCCCCAGTGCTTGCATATGTGCATATGTGCACATGAAGCAGAATGGCTGCTACTGCTGCCTTTTGGGGCTTTGGTGGGTAAAGCCTGAGCAAGTTGTGGAAGGAAGATTTTTACACCTGTGGTATATTGTGTGCCTCCATCCATTCCTCCAGGAGCTCTGTCTCCGAAGGGTGAGCTTTGGGCTATACTCATAATTACAGCATGCTGTGCAGATCATGAGCAGTGTGAAAATCACAGGTATACCTGGGCCTCCAATCTGAGGGGGAAAAAATGCCTCTGATCCATAGACATGATATTAGGGAATTATCAACTGCAGAGCAAAGCAGCCCCTCTGCAATACTAGCGAGTTATTACTCCCCAGATCATAAGCCAAGAGCCCAGGGACATGAAACCACTCAGAACGAGAGCCCTGCTGCAAATGTAGGACTTCGGAGCAGTAGAAGCTCAAACACCTTATTTTAAAGATGAAGAAATAGAGAAAACACGGCACAGTCTGCGAGTCCATTAACCAGACCGCACCTGATTTTTCTTAGCTTTTTTCTCCGTCACTACAGCAAACCTAACACAGTGTTGCAATCACAGCAGCCGAGTTTACATTGCCGTGAGCAAAACCTGAATCAGTTGCTGAAAAATGAGCTCTTCGGGTTCATCAAACACTGTGCTTCCATCAGCAGTTAAACCCCAAGACACGTAATTACATGTCTGTAGACAGGAGAAGAGGGGGGAGAAGTTTTGTGGTAGCCTCATATGGAGAGGGCCTTTCAAAATGCCAGTTCTGCCCCCAAAATATTGAAAATATGGAATCTACTCCAGACGGGATCCACTTGAGGATCCTTCAGACATCACCGGTGTCCAATAACTATATAGCTTGATGCTCGTACCGCCCAACTGGGTCAGGGCAGACACCTCCGATTTCACTAGGGGGTCCCCTTTCTGAGCAAATAGCTAAATTAGAAATGGTTAAAAATTGCTGAAAACTGTTAGCCAAGCCGCAGCGACACGCGAGGCTGGCAGAGCTTCAGCATCCTTGTTCAGAGATGCTCTGCAGCCCAGCGCAGGGGCAAAGTGTGATCCTGTTTAATGAGGGAGATAATTCAAGGTAAATTCAGAAGCAAAATTCAGCTGTGACTTGCCAGTATTTTAACCCTGCTTGCAACCTGTTGAAGGGCAAGACACAAGGATCTTTGAAGCCCGCGAATAAAGAAGCAAGCGGGCACCTCTGAGAGAGCCCGACCACAGCAGACTCGGGTTTGCTTTTTGTGTAACTCCTTTGGCTGCATTGGCTCAGCCCTACCATTCTCCTAATGCCACTTAAATGGACTAATTAACTTGATTTATTTCCGAAAATTAATGAAGAGTGGATCTGCAGCAATTAATTTCCCCCTGCCCCTCCCATCTGCAACAGATCCAATCTGATGACCTTGAGGTCGCTCTACAAAGCCACCTTCGTCCCCAGGCATTGGCATTGCTGGTCTGGGGAATCGCCTGAAGAAGAAAAGGATTGAGGATTTTGAGCTGGCTGTTTGCTGCTGCCGGGCCACTCTGGATTGCATTGCTGCATCTGGGGCATTCATTTGCTAGCTGGCAAAGTTAAGCCCATTGAGACTATAGAGAGAGATGCACTTTATTTAGAGCAGAGTCTGAGTCTGTGCACATATGTCTAAATGAAGAAATAACACCTGAGCCTTTGCTGAAGCTCTACAAAAGGTAGGAAGATGAGCACGAGGCTTTCAAGCTGAATCTCCTGTTTTATAGGAAGCTCTTAGGGGGCAAGGGGCAGTGGGTGGATTCATCTGGATAGACCCTCCTTTCCTTCAGCATCCGTTCTCTGCCAGTGTGAGACAAAAGATGGGGTAGGTGGACCTGGGGCTCAACTTTGTAGGACATCTCTTGTGCTCCTGGGATGGGTTCTTAGGTACAACACCCTTGGAAGTATTTAGCAGAGCACTTGGGCCCGATAAAAAGGTCCAATTTGTTTGCAGCAGCAGCAGCGAAGGGCTGGGATAAAGGAAAGGAGCACATCAGCATCCAGGCAGCCTCTTTTGGGAAGGCCCTGGGTGCAACTCAAGCCTGCCTCAAAGGCAGAAGCCATGGAGGAGGTAGTGGCAAGCTCCTCTTTTGTCATCGTTTAGACCCTGGGCTCTTGCAAGGGTAATGAAGAAGGGGTGCAATCAAGCATCTGGTGTGGGGGGGACGCTGGGAGAATGAGCAGGCTGGATCTCCAGGACCTCTTCTCCTGACGTTACATGGTGGCGGATGCCCCACCACTTCTATTCCTTATTTCTCTGGAAGCCTTGGAGCCTGCAGTTAATCAGCGCTGTGTCGCTAAGCGCCGCTGCAAGTAATGGAAGTTTATTGCGGAGATTCAGGCAGCCTCAGCTCATAAAGCAAGACGCTCTCCTGTTCACCTAGGCGCGCCGTGCAGATGGCAGAGTGCACAGTCGTGGGCTTCACGGGCATATTTGACCCTTTGTGCGAGCAATCGTTAGCCCCTTCAGTCATTGCAATACCCTTTAGGAGCCCGCGATGGGCCGTTTGTGCTCTAATTTCACTTCGTGCACTACCATAGTGCTTGTGACTAAACAGTCTGAGCAAGCTGTCAGGGGCACGCCGGCTCCTGCCTCAGCCTTCAGAGGCACCCTGGAGTTGAATTTGTTTTTGACGTTCATTGCCTTTTTTTTAGTATGATCATATTCTGTGCCTGCGCTGCGCCACTGACAATAAATCCAAAGGAACCAGGTCCCGAATTTTTAAAGAGGTTTACCCAAGGGAATGACAATTACTTCTTCCTTCCAACACTGCAGACACTTGCTGGCACTTACACGTTCAGGTTTTGCTTTCAGAAATGCAACCGCTTGCCTATAATTATTCATCCTGCACTCTGGGGTGGGCAAAGGGGCTTTAATAAGTAAACTTGCAAAGATGGGGGAATGGCATAAATTGGTTTAGTTCTAAAGCATGGGCTTGAAGAATAAAACCGAGGTGTCGATAGTCGTATGTTTTAAAGCACAGCAGGCCATATTCCTGATGTCTTGTCTCGGGTA